CGCGGACCTACATACCAAATTTCAGCTTTCTGGCTCTTCAACTAACATGATTTCTGGCATATCGGAACATGCATTTTCCGATTCGCCACGCCCCTGGTGGGTGGATCGGGAACATTTTAACACTTTATAAGTCAGAGATATACACGAGTATGTGTTCCAAATAAATAAATTGCGTTCATACGGACGGACAGCAAGACGGACATTTTAGTCTTTAGCCTGTATATCTTCTGAGATCAAAGCGTACATACATAAGGACGGACGGATGGACAGACGGACATCGATCAAGAATATACATCATTTATGGGTTTTGCCACGCCTACCACAGAGGAGCAGAGCTCGCCCTGTAGGTGTGTGTGTATGTGTATGTGTGCATGGAAGAGGCGTAAAGTTATTTGAATATCGGCTCTTTGCAGGGTTTAGAAGACTCCTAATTGAGCAGTTTCGATTAGAGCACTCTAACTTAACTTTCTTGTATACTTACAATGCTGTCCACATCGCTGCCATTCTCCAAAATGGGCTGTTCGTCGTTCGACGGACACTTGAAGAACTCTTCTAGTACTTTGCGCGTCTCAGAAAATTCGTAGAGGTAATCAAATGTTGATGATTTGGTATGCAGGCTTAATTGACCTGGTGTTGTACCGATGGCCGAAGAGTTGCTGGCGATTGCTGTTATTGTGGTTGCCGCCAATGTTGCTGTTGCTGTGGCTGTTACCGTGGTTGGTGTTGCTGCTGCAGGTGGCGGTGAAGTGGCCGCACAGCTCGTTAACTCGTTGGGCGTAGCCGTAATGAGTGCCTCTGGCGTGGTTAAATCGGATATGGTGCCAATTTCAGAGACATCATTGCTTGTATCTTCGGCATTGTTGTCACTGCATGCTGCCTTGTTGTTGTTATTATTGCTATGATTACTACCATAGTTATAATACTGTTGCTGCTGCTGTGTGGGGGAACTGCTGCGCAGCTCACGCGGTGGCGATATTATGCGCTGCAAAAATATATGCAATAATATATGAACACTGAAGTGGCTTTTGAGAATTACCAACTTTACCTGTGGAAAGCCGGGGCGAATTGGATTTGCCTGTGGCTGTTGCGACGGCTGGCACTGGGCAAGCGCAGCAAGTGCTGCATGAGCCGCTGTCTTCTGCAATGAGTTGGCCGCAATTGTTTTGCAACTGATGGTTTGCAGAGCTGCCATTGTTGGCGTAGCTGCAGTTGCTTTTATTGTGTCAACTGCTGCCTCAGGCTCGTCAGCAGCGGGACTGTTACTGGTCGCAAAGCCAATGCGTCTGGGGGAGCCCTCATATTCTGGGCATTGTGAGACCAATTGATTAGACGATTTAATATATACCTACTATATGTATATATGTGTGCATGATTGGCCTACTCACCTATGATGCCATGACGTGACTCTACGGCCAGTGTGTAGTTACTTTCCAGTTGCCAGCCATTTCGATAGGCTGCGTCATCATCGACGATGCGTCGCGTAGGTGGCTCAAGCATGACATGAGCGCGACTTTGGCTGCCTAAATGTGTTTTGTTAGCGGTTTGCTGTTTGCTGCTTTTGATCTCCTCCGAAGGCAGGGCATTTGATTCGGTCGTTACGCGTAGATCTGTTAAAGAAACATGAGAACTAACTTTGGACCTTATAAACATTTTGGGCAGGCCCTTCATTCTGTCGGCGGTATCACGTTATAATATATGATTTGCTTCAATTTAATAAATTCGGGGTCATCCCCATAAATGCAAACTAATAGACTGGTAGGGCTTGAATGAATAAGGGCAGTTAAATCAACTCAAACATTTTAGCAGTCCCAAACCATGGAACTGAAGCCTAATGTTGTTAGTATATGAATTCCCCAAAGGGAACGAGAAGCTGAGAAAATGTACTTAGGGTAAGACCCAAGTTCAATAAGTATATTCTTATCAAGGATCTCATTGTATGTTGATCAGATACTTACGCTGCCAACTCTCTGAGGTATCGGCTTCTCCATAGCTGCTGACAGCTGACTCATTGACAGTGTTATTGATCAATCGATCGTCGTTATTGACGAGCCGCTTGCACTGCTGCTGTTCATGTTTTTGTGCTGAAGCAAGGTGGCTCAAGTGATTATCGCGTGTTGTATGCGCATCTTGCAGCTGAAGATGCTGCTGTTGTTCCAGCAGCAATTGCTCACGCTGTCGTTCTTGTTCTCTTTCGCGTTCACGCTCATCACGCAACCGTTGTTTACGCTGCTCACGTGGCTCCCAATCGGTTGGATGCTCATTCAGGGACGATTTGCTGCCATACAGATAGTGGCTAGCCAGTGGAGTTAGCCCCTCGGCGCACGGATTGCTGGCGCTAAGCGTCGGTTGATGTTGTGTGCCAAAATCAACAGCTGACAAGTTGTGAGTAACGGGACTGCGACCCGCGCGCATTACGTGGGGCGCTTTAAGATTCTGCGATTGCGACAGCGCTTGGGTTTGCGTTTGCCTCTGTCCGATGCTGTATAATAGTGGCGCGAGTTGCTCCCTTTGCTGATGATAGGCTCGTCGTGCCGACGTGTGTTGCGGTAGTTGCTGCTGTTCTTGCTGCTGCTTCTGTTGATGCTCATCACGATACTCCGTAGGTGAGTGCAACAACGAGCTAGCATATGTAGTGGGCGACTCCCAGTACTGCTCCTTGATAAATGGATTATGACTGTTCGATGCAGCTTCGTTTCCGATGTTGTTGTTGCTGATGCCGTTAAGCAGCGCATGATGTTGGTGTTGCCTGTTGACTGATATAGCGCTATTCCGTTTTCGCGGCATATCTGTATAGCTGTGGCTACGCCTGGTATCGCCTGTGTGATAGTAGAAAGAAGCAGGATATGCCGTCTGTGGCACCGACTCTTCAATAAGCTGTTTCTGCTGCGGCGGTTGTTGTAAGCCCTCGTCCTCTGTTAATAGAATACCGTCGACGTCCGTATCGCCCCCGTTCGATGTAACAGTTGGCGGTGTTGGTGGTGTCAGTGGTGCGCACAAAAATGGATTTGTCGAAATGCGCGGCGTGACCGAAGACAGCGACTCCGAAGAGTGGGACGAAGCTGAATGCGGTGGAGGAGACTGTGTTATTATGTTCACACTTTTATAGTAGCTAAGCGTGTTGATGGATGTGACAACGGGTGAGCTGCTTCCAGTTATCTCTGCAGTCGCTGCTGCTACTGTTGTGTTGTTCGCACTGTTCAAATTTATATCAACACTGTCTTCATGCTGTTGTCGATTGCCACTGCTCGACAGCTGTTGCTGTTGCTGCTGTTGTTGTTTGGGTCGGCACTTGGGAAATAGCAAATTTATTTGATCGTCCAGCGGTGGCGAAGTCGAGAGCAGCGCCTGGGATAAAGTCAATGGTTGCTGTGGTTGATAGCCGCAATTGCTGTTGGAGGTGTTGCTGCTGTCACAGTCGTTCTCCAATTCGTTGTGCGCGTAATGATTGCGTTGATGAGCGCCAGCTACGACTGTAGGTGATGCTCCTGTTGTTGCTGGGGCTTGCAGGCGATGGTAGCTGCTATAGCTGCTACCGTTACTGCTGTGATGAGGCGGTTGCTGTTGATACTGCTGTGGCTGCTGGTGCTGCTGATGATGATGTTGGTGATGATGATTAGTGCTACTAGTTGTTTGTCCAGCCAATGTTGTCAATGTTGTGCTGACCATTATTGTTGCCAATATACTGAAAGTAGAGAGACGAAAATCATTGATAAGTTTCTCAGCTTTAATATTGTGCATATGTTGATCGAATATGAAAATACCAACATCCTCCTTCGTCGCTTTGCTTATACGCTCCACGCCCAGCTGGCAGTTGTTTTAATAAACACAGGCACACTGTTAGCCTTTGTCATGCCCAAGCGGCAAAAGGCGTGCTCGTGAATTTAGAGGTGGGGGGTAAATTTTAACAAAAA